ACGCGCTGCAATGCCCACGGCGTTCATCATCCACATCTCTGTGACGTTTTCTTGTCATTCCACACGCTGCAGGTGAGAAGAGTGAGCTGGTTTAGGGAAGAGCGTAAAAGATAGGTGGATAAAACGACCGATAGGCTAACGAGACAAAGCGTATAAAGGAGCACCGCAACAAACGGAAGAAGATGGCAGCTAACTTCCAGTAACTGTTTTTCTTATGTGAAAAAATATTACTCTCACAGCTGTGCAAAAAGCCATTTAAGCAGCGTCTCACGAGCCTCCGGGCCCGACCTTCGGTACAACCGCACCAGTTGCACTAACCGCGTTAGGTTGTGTATGGCGAGGAGTATCTTGCTGTTCATCTCTTGCACGGTAAGAAGGTGATGAATATACGCACGAGTGTGTCTTGTACAGGTGTAGCAGCTGCATTCTTTCGCCAACGGTTGAATGTCCACCGCAAAATCATAGTCGTTAAGATCTATCTGTGACTCATGGTGCGATGGGGTTTCCGCTGACGCTGGGACCATGTCGAAAGTCAGGCATATCCCCTTTTCCGCGAGCATCCACGGGAGTGCGCACTCGATAAAAGTGACACCGGCCTTTAAACACATCAATACACCCGCGACAGATGCAGCTGTGCTCATGACAGTGCGTTTGGCAGCAGCCTCTTTCACACAAGAAGAATACTGCTGGAGTGTCTCATTTTGGCCAAGCTCATCCATGAAAACGTATTCAGCGTCTTCATTGTCACCTTGATCCACAGTGCACAACGGTTTCATTAACTTGCAGCCGCTTTGGTCTTGAATAGAATAAGAGGCCTTCGACCATCGGGCGGAACGAGCCGTTGCTGTCCGTCTTCGCTTTGTTTGAGTTTCGTACAGTGAAATCGCGTCATAGAGAGGAATAGCTATCGCTGGGCGAATCGCCAGCACTATCTCACTCCACTTCTCGACTGTGAAAGAGACACGTCCCTTCTCGTGATAACCACACACAGCCGTGTCTGTTGCAGGAGCGCTGGTGTGCATACCAATGAACGGGCTTTGCACGGTCAGGATGGTTGTGAAGTCTGCCAAGGCGCAGAATTCTGCGAAGCCTTGCTGTGCCTTCTTGCAGGGAAGCACATACTCACTCGCGTCGAAGATGGACACACTCATCACTCGCTCCTCCTCGTTGAGAATAGCCCGTATCTGGTCGGGCGTTAGGAAAGGAATCCCGCCACGCCTGCACGGTATTACAAGCACAGGAGAATGGGCCGACATACTACAGTAGATAGCCAATGAGTTCCCTTCAACCGCAATGCTACCTGCACACAGAGAAACAAATACGAACCAAAGAAACAACAAGAAAAAAATCAACCCACCATGGTAATATGCAAAGCGCCCCTCCCTCCTCACAGTATTACACGCACAACCAAGAACTATTCCCCATTCCCGCGATCAACGTTTGTCGTAGGCGCGTCTAAGCTGGTTTTCAGGAATAAACGCAAAAAAAAAAAAACGATATTCGTTCAGAAAGGCACAGTTCATGGAGTTACTCTCACACACGCACGCAGGGGTTGTTGCTTTTCTTTTTATGTTTTTTTTTTCGTTTTTTGCCTGGCTGGCAGCCTCAGCAAACATGAAAAAAAAAAAATGAAAATAAAAATAAAACAGTACGCCAGAATTGTGAAGGCGAGGTACACCTACACTACGATCTAAAAACTTTATCCCAATCAATCATCCTCTTGTTCTTCTTCGCATCAGCTTCACGCGGCACCCATGAGGGTTCGGCCGTGTTCACACTATCGTGGCCGCTCAGAGTGAGATGCGTGGACTGCATCGGAAACTGCAGCAGCGGTGAAATAGATTTCAGTGATGCCTCGATCGTGCGATGTGGTCCGTTGAGCTGGCTGTCATCATCATTATAAGCCACACACGGCCCTGGGATGTGGTCTGTTGTCTGTGCCACACCCCCGTCATTTACCCACTGCTGCTGTCGCAGCCAACTTTCCCGCACCTGACGAAAGATGGAATCCTCCTTTCCGGGCTTGGGCAACGGACGACCCGGCGTGGGCGCAACGCGTCGCCACTCAGGCATCTCATCGTGAAGGCGGGCGCGGGACAGCGCATATTCCGTTAGGGATTTTTGAATACGTGCGTCAGAAGCCGTGCTTCTCTCGGCCCGTGCGCGAATCCCTGCTGGCTGTGGACGCAAAATCTCTGTACGCTTTGCTTGGAGCTTTTCCACTCGTCGCCGCCGCTCTGCTTCACTCTTCATGAGGTGTGCGGCGAGCGACTGACAGCGTGCAACCAAAACGAACCGTGCGTCACTTTCCTCCACTTCAATCCTCAGGCGCAGCATATCCTCCTTTCGCACCAACTCACGAAATAAAATGCGCGCCCTCTGGAGCGTCTTCTTCAGCAGACGCTCTTCATCCTGTTGCTTGTTCCACTTGATGTGGTCAACCGAGTTGAGCCACTGCGTCCATGACCGTTCATCTGCCATCCGCTCAGTGTCGATGGCCCTCGCTTCTCTTCGCTCTTTCTCGCATGCCAGTTCACGCTCGTACTCTAATGCAGCACGTTGCTCCTCCAACAATTGTCGATACACCTTGATTCGCACCAATTCACCTCTCACATGACGTTGAATGCAAATAGCTGCCCTATTGCGCAACTCCATCAATCGTCGCTCCTCCTCGAGGCGTCGGTGCTCCTCCTCTTCTTCCCGCTTACGCTTCTCCTTCTCGGCTCGCTTGCGTTCACGCTCCGCTGTCTCGATGGCGGCTCGGTACTGTCTTCGTTCTTCCTCCAGTTGCACCAGAGATACCCACGAGTCTTCTTCCTCACGTTCACGTGACTGCCGCAATTGCGCCTCGTTGGCATACATATCTTCTAGCGTCTTCATCCACTTCCTACGAAGGAGTTCAGCTTTATGCAGCATAACAAGTGCAACAAAAAGTTTATGCCGTTCCAAGCATCCCCGGCCAATCCGTTGCAACGTCATAGATGTCTCGATCAAGTACTGGTTCCTGAACCTTTCAAGAGCGTTGTGGGCCTCCGCTTTAAGAAAGACTTTTGTATGGCCAATCTGAACCTGTGCCGGCACCTGCACTTTGGCTCCTTTGAGCACATCCTCGATAATTGTCTTTTCAACAGCACCTGTTAAGGAGGTGCACATCCGATACCTGCGACAAAAGGCATCCCTGGGAATACGTACCGGATACCCCGCTTTCCGTATCTTCACTGTGCCCAGAACACCACTTGACTCCAGCTGATTCATGGTTTGCCTACCGTGGAACATCCTTGGTTTTTTCATAGGGTGCGGTTTGATGCATCGAATCCAGTGCGGGTTGGTGCTGTTGATAAGGTCAATGAGGGCTGTTAACTGATTGCGAAAAAATCCACTAACAGTGAACTCCTTCCCTCCCTTGCTCCGCTCCGAAAGTGGAATAGGTGCTGGAAGGCAGCGTGCAATAATGCTATCGCCGCTCCCCCGCACAATAGTTTTGATTGTATCCTTGAGTGTGTTACGGTTCTTCTCAATCCAACCTACCACATTGTATGTAACATCCCCTGCATAATGCCGAACGCAAAACGTGTCGCGCGATACACGTTCCTTTTTGAAAAACGGATTGCTCTCATGCGTCATGGCCACCTTTTCCAAAAATCCAAGATCTGTACCCCCACCGAGCCAGCAACACTCATCAAGTAGAGGGAAAATACCACCTTGTGCGGTAAGCATCTTCAAGCATCCTGTATTATCCGGGAAAACAACTTCCGTCATGTCCACACCTTCCTTCCTGCATTCGTCCATATCTCGCTTAAATATGTGCAAGTTGTAGTGGTACTGGAGGTGCTCGTTCGTCAAGTTGATGCAAAGTTGCTCGAAGGAATTCACCTCAAAGTCTTCAAACCCAAAGATATCTAAAAGACCAATCCAATTGCCATCACTCTCCACATTACATAAATCGTTGCATCGATCTACAAGCCACCCAAACACACCATCGTACAAGTGTTTGCACATAGCGTCACGAACATCCACAGCTGTAACAATGTCATTCGGTTTCACTGCGAACTGATTACCGGGAAGAACGCGGGTGCTCGTGAGAAACTCATGAATCAGTTCACTCTCGTTAATATCAAGAAGTTGAACAGCCTTCTTGAGGTAATTCATCGTTCCTGGGTCAATGGAGCAGCTATCCTCTCCTGGGAGGAAACGAACATTAAGTAATGTCATAACGGCGGCAGGTACACGCCAGACCGATGTGATCTCCGCCTCTTTCATTCCCACTTTTTGCATCGCACGACAAACATCATCAAAGTCATTTTCTGAACTGTACTCCGTGCTGTTGGCCGTTTCTCCAGAGCAGAGCGACACGTACCGATTCTCATTCTCAAGACCAAGTGTTCGTGCCATACTCTTTCGAGAACGAGCCAGAAGGTAAAATGAGTGGTACACACGCTCTCCTTTTGCGGCAGAGACTATACGGCTTTTTTCCAAAAGATATTTAACTGTTTCAGCGCCAACAACAAGGTGATTAGCGTTGAACTTCACCTTCATAAATTTTCCAAAACGCGAACTATTGTCGTTACGAACTGTTTTTGCATTGCCAAAACACTCTAATACAGGTGAGCAAGCAACTAATCTTTCGCCAACACTTAGTGCAGTTTTTCGTTCCTCTCCACTCCCAGACAACGATGAGACGATGCCTAGGTATTGCAACACTATCTTTGTTGCCTCAGTTTTTCCCGCCCCAGATTCACCAGAAACAATAATGCACTGGTTACTCGCACTGTCCACCATTTCATAGTACGTGACATGTGCTTGAGTCCATGAGTGCGGCACCAAATTCGAAGGCAACGTGGCGCTGGTCAAATCACGTCCAGCAGAGAGGTATTTTTTCATTTCACCATCCTGGTACCGTGGAATAGAAAAGGTAAAGGGATTCAAGGCCACCACAATGGCACCAATATTCGTGTAAACCAAATCCGACATGTAACGAATGTAGAGGCACCTGAGTAGTGTCGCCTCGTGAAGAACAGTCAGACTAAGCAAGTCATCAGGGGTATCATTCAGGGCGTCAGCCTGCAACAGCTCAACATCCTCAGGTCTCTTGACGATAACGGTTTCATTTGGAGTGACATCCTTCCTTGCTTGATCCATTGTGACGCAGACAATACCTTCCTTTGCAATGCGCTCTATAACGCCGTACACCCAAGAGTGCTCTGGGTGGCGGAAGAAAACATGGTCGCCCGCCCCTAAGGCGCTCATTTTATTTCTTTTTCTTTTCTTCCCCTAAGCAGAAGGAAAAAGCAATAGACGTACAAGGGCAAACAGTATCCGAAATCATCAAAGCAATAAAACAAACAAAACAATAACAACCACAACAAACAAAAAAAGCAAATCCAAGTTTCGGCTAATTTGACTCCCAACAAATGAAACAATGACCTCCACAAATACTTTCTTCTATGATCTGTTATACTTCTGTCATCTATGAATAATAATAACAAAAAGACCCTCTGACATATTTTACTCCTCAACTTCGCGTGCTCGTTTTCGTTCTTCAAGTGCTGCCTGTTTCAGCAGCTTTACACCTTCGTCCAGCGATATTGACTGAATGCGGCTTACCTTGTTGTGAAAGAATACACCAAGGACATTATCGGCGGCCTCAAGCATCTCATTCTTGAATGTGGCAGTAATAAACTGACAGTTTTCAGACTCTTTACGAAGCAGCTTCGCAACTGAGGAGCGGTATTCTGCATCCAGTGCAGCATCAATCTCATCAAAGAGGTAAAACGGCGCAGGNTCACAACGTTGAATAGCAAAAATCAGTGCCAGTGCAACAAGTGACTTTTGTCCTCCACTCAACTGAGCAAGGTCTGTTACGGGTGTCCCAAGACCAAACGTCACGCGAATGCGAGTGGCAATGTACGGGTCCTCGCCTACATCTTTCTTCGCGGAGGAATGGACAAGCTGCAGTTCACCACGGCAATCCTCTGCTGCGACGAGTTCCTTGAAGACCTCTTCAAACTGATATTGTATCTGTTTGTATGTACGCTCTACAGCCTCATCCTTCTTTCGATCAAGGTGCTCCATCAGCTCGTGGATGCTCTTCAATTCGTTCTGTAGGTTGTCTCTCTGGCCAACCAGGTCGTTCTTCGTCTCCATTAGGGACGAGTACTGATCAAGTGCTTTCCGGTTTACGTGTGCATATTTTTTCAGATTTTCATTGTTTTCCTTTAGATGATGCATCAGTATGCCCAGCGACTTTCCGGAGTAAGTTTCGGCACCCTTCGGAACAACACCCAAACGTCGTATCTTCTCCATAGCGTCGTTACGTCGCTGTACAAGGAGGGTACGCTGCATTTGAGCTCTTTCCTCATCTTCATTGTGTTCTTGTACAGATCTCGAGGATGCGATCTTCTTGTTCTTTAAAAGCTCAAGCTTCTCCTCGTGGGCGAGCTTTTCCCTCGAAGCCTCGTCCATCGCGCGTCGAATAATATCCATCCGTTTGGAAACCTGAGAGAGTTCCTCGTCCACGTTACCTTGCTCCTTCTCCACGGACTGCCTGTTGGTATGGAACCAACCAAGCTCACGTATGCGATCACGCACAATATTCATCCTCCGATTCATGTTCTGAAGAGTATCCTCCAGTAGTTGCACTTCTGTGGCCATTTGTACGGTACGTAATTGAACTGACGAGAGCTCTTGGCGAGACTTATCCACTTCGACCATGAGAGACTCCAATTCCTTCTCCTCACTCTGTTTCCATGTAGAAGAGAACTCGTTCTTGATTTCTTGTTGTAAAACCGACAAGGCACTATTCGCATCAGTCATGCTCTTTTCCAAGGCCTTGCGAGTCACCAGGAATTGTTCCTTCTGCTTTTCGAGACGTGCCTTTCGTTCGTCGTGAAGGCGAGCGTCTTGAAGATCTGCATCAGCCTTATTTTCTGCCACAGCAAATTCGCCCCTCAAGGACTCAATTTCATTCATAACGTTTGTTATCTTCTGTTCGACCACAGCCACTTCTTGGCAAAGCATGTCAAGTGTCGCTCGTTCTTGCAAGAGTTTTGCAGAAATCATCTTTTCATTTTTGAAGGAGACCAATTTCATGTTACGGGACTCCAAGTACCCTCCTGTGATGCCTCCCTTGCGGCTAAGCTGATCACCTTCCAATGTCACAGCATCGCAGTTGTATTGTTTCACAACCTTCGCGCCGTTCTCGATGGATGACACAACGGCCGTCCTTCCCAAGACCTCAGCCACCACACCCTTAAACATGGCATTGCATGAAACATGATCCATGAGGGAGGTACACCCCTCTTTCCCATCAAATCGCATTGCCTCACTTCTGCACGTATCCAGTGGAAAGAAGGATATGCGCCCAGGCTTCTTCCTCATATTGATTTGCTCGAGGAGGACAGCACTAACCTCAAAGGAATCAACAACAACGTTGAAGAGCGCATTACCTGTTGTCACTTCAACAGCTGTCTCATACCCCTTGGCGACCTCAATGAGCTCAATCAACTGTCCATGGACGGCTTTGCGTAACCGCTCATCCCCCACTTCGTGCAAAACTTCTTTTAAGGACTGTAATCCCTGACGAATATCATGACGGACAGAACGTTCAAGCTGTTGTCGTGTGCGATTATGCTCATCTTGAAGCCTCTGAACGACATTCTCCTGTTCGTTGACTTTTTGCCACAAATTCCTCCGCTCCATATTGAGTGTATTCCTTAGAGAAACCGTCTTTCCTCTTTGAGCTTCATGCTCTGCTAGCCGTGATTCAACGGTTTTTGAAACCGTCTCTTTTTCCTTCTGTTGCCTCTCTTCGTCACGAATCTGGGAGTTAACTTCATCTATATTTTTCTCCAAATGAGCAATTTCTTTTCTATGGGTGTCTATAATAGTTCTGTTCCGCTCCATTTCCTCTGAAAGCCACTTGTCACGTTCTTCTTTGTTCTTAAACAGTTTACGTCGACCGCGTTTGGCTAAAAGACTTTCTAACTTCGCCTCCATACTTGTCAAACTACCGCTCCTTGTCTCTACGTTTTTCTGTTGTTCAAACAAGTTGACACGCTTCGCTTCCAGGTCCTTCTTCGCCTTCTCTGTATTACTCACCAGCTGCTCTGCTTCTTTTTGGAGTGCTTTACCCTCTTTTTCGTTTCGGCTGATTGCATTGGTCACATCAGCCGCATCCAGCTGGGCAATAGCCTTCTTGCTGGTCAATCCAATTCTTTCCTTCTCCAATACCTTCATCTCTGTTTCCATCTGTGCAATACGCTTTGCACAGTTGCGTATCTGTGTCTCTGTTGCCTCAATGCTGCTTTTCATGCTAAGATCAGCATCTTTATCCTTGTTGAGGGAAGAAATAAACTCATTTCTCTTCGCATCAAGCCTCTGTAGACATTCCTTTGCATTAGACAACTCCAACGTAAAGATACAGTATTCAATGCACTTGCGTTCCTTCTCAATCTCTTGAAAGGACTTTAACTCTGCGGTTTCAGTTTCAAGCTCTGTCAATCTTTCCTCTAATTGAGTGATGGATTCTTCAATTTTTTGGTACTTTCCAGAGGTTTCTTCCAAGATTTCTTCACTTTCTTTGCGCCGTGATTCATAGACCTTGGTGCCAGCAACATCCTTAATAAGTTGACATCTCTCTTCGTCACTCATGTTGGCTAGGCTCACAATCTTACCTTGCTCCACGACGTAGTAAGGGTTGCTTGCAGAAAACCCTGCACTCTCCAACAGCTGCCTCACTTCCGTGGCGGTAAACCTACGGTCATTCACGCGAAACTCATCTTGCTTTAGTCCAACCGTGCGCCGTATCCGTACCTCCTTTTCTTCCGCTCTTCCTGGAATGATAAGACGGCCATCCGAGTTGTCAAAGATAATCTCCACAAAAATGGACAAGGCAGGCCTTCCAGAGCCGACATGGAAAAGTTCTTTGCGCTCTTCAGCTGTCAATGTACCGTACTTATCACTTAGAACAAATTGAATTGCTGCAAAGAAATTCGATTTGCCCGAACCATTTTTCCCTACAATAACATTGTTTTTCGGTGAAAGATCAACGTTAAATGACTGTTCTCGGTACGAGCGAAACCCCGAAATCAGAATGTTCTTAATGTGCATTGCACTATACTTAAATTGGAGAAGAGAAAAAAAGAAGAAAGTGAAGAAGCCCTTGTCACACAGGAGTTGTCGTTCTTAGGCGATCGCCCTCGGTAGAAGCAATTGCACTCGTGTCAGGCATTGCCTTACGAGAGGTGGGACAAATCCCGTTTCTCACGGGTGCTGAAACTCCCAAAGAAAAAGAAAGCCACCATGCGCAAGAGGGCCGCTTTTCCTTTTTTTTTTTTTTACAACAGTCCAAAACCACAAAAGAAAAACCCACAGGAGGGCACACACGCGCACCGCAAGAGGCAAAGGATTGAAAAAGGCAGAAGCAACTCCTAAAAAGAAACCGCCGCGGGGAACGGAAGAAACCCCCGCAAAAGCAAAAAAAAAGGCCGGCTGCCCCCCCCCCCCCCCNNNNCCCCGCCCGCCACCACAGACACACCAGGGGACGCGGGTGCTAGATCACTTCGCGGCGGCGGCGGGGTGCGGAACCGCCTGGCTCTTCTCTTTGGTGTTGTTCTTCTCATTTTGTGCCCTGGGGTGGGGGGTGAACGCTTTTGGTGGGCCGCGGGTGGTTTTTCGAGCGCCCTGGGGGCGTTGTGGCGGTTCTGGGTTGCGTCGTTGGGCGAGGCTTCTCGCCCGCGGTGTTAAGAGTGTGCTTCCGTTTGTGTGAAGAAAATTGGTCTTCCTTGGTTGATGGGGCACGCTTATTGTCAGTGCGGCAACTTCAAAGGTCATCAGGGAATGATTTTCGTTTTGTCACCACTTCATGGGGCTTGCTTGGTGCTTGAACGCCTGCGTTGGTCTTGGAAAACTCATTCATAATAGCTGAGGAATGTACTTGCCCATAAGAAGTCTCTTGGGGACTCTGTGCTTCAGTTGGTGTGAAGGGCATTGTCCCATAGTGAAGGCAGGCGCTGCACTATGCATCCACAGAGGACTCTTGTTGACACTGGAGTGCCTACACGTCTTTCTCTTATCTTTATTTCTCTGAACATTCACTTTCTGCTGTTCTTGCTTCTGCTAGTCTAGACTCATGCCAGAGGTTGCGACAACGGTCTTCGTCACGATCCGTGGCGGCGAGACGATGCCTTTGCAACCCTGTGATAAGTCACAGCCTCTCTCCTATATCACTACGGTGAGGGCTATCGTGTTTACCCGTCAGACTGCAACTGGTGCCTCAGCACCGGTAACAGTCTCTCTGGTGGCCCACTGCGGCACGGCAGAGAAAAGCGGGACTAGAACCTTTACCATTGCCTCACACGCCTTTGCGTCATCTGCAGGCGGGAAAACAGTTGAGGAGGAGGAGGCTGTAGTGTTTCCGCTGCGGTCACCTATTGTGTTCACATCGCAAGGTCCTGTTCACTCCCTAGAGGTTCAGTGCTCAGAATGGAAGCGAGATAGTCACGCGAATGATCGTAGTGACAGCAGCTCCTTGAAACCGGGAGACAGTGGTGCGGTTTACACCGTGACGTTACACGGGAGTCAGCGAACGTTCTTGACGAAGGAACAGGTGCTGCTCTTGTGCAACGTTGGTGGTGAAACCAGTCCGCAGTGACGACGTAAGACAACAATGAAAGATAATGCACTACCCTCGTTTTATTAAGGTGATTGTGTGAAGAGGGAAATAGGGGTGGGGTAATTTTTGTGTGCGGGTGATGCTTCTAGGAGTGTTGTGGTACCTTTACCGTTTTGTTTCAGACTCCTTGCTTCTACCAGCTTAATAGTGACTATTTGCAAGGGCTACAATGAATACGTCGGAGAGCGCAAAGCATGAGAGACAGCTGGGCATACCTTGATGATGCCGGTCATCTGTTTCATTCCAGGGCATGCTGATTAGGCGAAAAATGACTCTGTGGAAAGCAATGGTGCGGTTCTATTCCTAACCAGGGTGCGCGTAGATGAGGTATACAATGTGTAGCTTTTCAACTCCCTGTCACATCACTTTAGGTGTCTGGTGTTGGCTTCTTCTCTGACACTACTGGAGGTGATGATGGCTACCGTAAGCCGCAATGGTTCCATTCTGGCAATCAATACTGGCGAGGAGTTATCATGCTCCTAGGAATCAGTGATTCTTCTGTCGTACCACAGGAGGCGACTCAAACTGATCGTGGTCCTACCGAGGCACTGTGACGGCGATCCAGGTCGTCGTCACGAGGCTACCTGGTCTACCTGTTGACTCGTCCGAGACATGCCGCTTCGTACGGAACATCTCGTCGATGTAGTTCCTGGTGCTCCTGCACGCCCACCAGTAGCGTGGCACACAGGAAGGGTATCTGAGTTAGCCCCGCTTCCCCAGCTATGTCTTCCGGTTGCACCTCCACACTAGTAGGAATACACAGGGTCCCCTGGTAGTGTCCTGTAGGTGTGCTGTGGGGGCTGATCGCCGTTGTGATGCAAAGTAGGCACAGTGTATTCAGGGGAATCCTGGATATGAGAGCCCATTTTCCACTGTTAGGTGTGCATGCAGCAGGACAGGAAGAAAACGAGAGGTCGGAAGAGGCGAGTGTACCGTGCTCAGAGATGGTGAGGTCGCTTAAAGTGAACCTTATTCAGGTGCAACGCCTGGAATCCTCTCAGGTGTTGCAAGTCGCGCTGAGCGGGTGCTCTGGTGGCAGTCCGTAACATCACCCTTTGGGGACTAGGTGAGTGCGCATTGCAGTGTGTGTTTGCATCTGTAAGAAGGAAGCACTTGCTCTTGTACCACGCTTTTTCGTTGGTGTGATTGGCCAACGAATCTGTGACCGCTAGGAAACATCATCTTGTAGCTGCTGACGCGTGTCTGATAGATGTGATGTTGAGACCTTGTTGATGCTTTTCATCTTCTGCCATTGTCGCTCCGCCCGACACCCACACACAGACAAACAGTTGTAGTTAGGGACACGAATGATCACACATAGCGGTACAAGTAACGGTACGAGTGAGAGCGCTTCCACAACCTTCATGCCGACCGCAACGCTTCTTCAACGCCTCTTGAAGGAGGAAGGAGCCTTTTTCCATCCTGCTATGCAAGTACGTCCCATCGCGCGGATGGGAGGCGGCTATGGCGTGATGGCGGCAGAGTCACTGACACCAGGAATGCTTCTCGCTGAGATACCTTGGCACTCGATGATCACTCCTAGTAAGGTGCGCCGCCACGTGGCCTCGTATGAATGCCGAGGGCGAGGTATCTGTTCTGGCGGCAAACAACCAAGCATTGCTAAGCCCTCAGAGGCTGCGTTAGCGAGTATGGAACGAGAGTTGGCAGAGCGTTTGTCCCCAACAAACAGTATTGTTTGCTTCTTGCTCTTGGCAGCTGCACAAGAGGGTCGTTTCACCCCTCCTTTAGGCCCAGCGGCGGTGAATGCTGCTTCCACGTTGCCTACCACCACGACCAAAGAAGAGAAGAGCGACCTCGTGTGCAATCACAAGTGGATGAAACCTTGGCTGCTTTCGCTACCAGCTCAATACGATAATCTCCTTGAGCTGTGCCCAGAACCGAATAAGGAGCCTAATGAAGACAGGCCCGAGGCCGCGGAATGGAATGAAGGTGCCACGACGGATGCATACCTCCAATCTTTTTTATTCTTTGAGCGGCACCGCAGCAAGACGCTCCGTGAACAGGAGAATGTGAAGGTGGAGTTCGACGCTTGCCGATCTGTACTGTCAGTGTTGAACGCCTTACCACGCCCTGAAGGGCAGGGACCGCTGGTTCCAGCTACCCTGCGCCAGTTTCTTTGGGCCTATAATACTTTGATGACGCGAGGCTTTGCGTATGATGCGGAGGTTTGGGCTCTCATGCCATGGGTGGACTACTTTAACTATTCGTTAACCAGTAACGCCACAATGAAGTTTGACGCCAAGCGACGTGCATACATCTTCGAGACATTGTTGCCGATCAAGAGCGGTGAGCAGATCCTGCTGCATTACGGCTCCTATACAGATATGGAGTTGCTTCTGTGGTACGGATTCACCCTCACACCGTTCCTTCTGCCTGAACTTGCCAGAAGCACCAAACGAGAGGAATCCTTTCAGACATTACGGAGGCTTTTGTGTGAAGAGGCTGTCGCGTCTGGTACTGGCCACGACGAAGAGTTTATGATCGCAGTGGACACCGCGTTGGGGTATTCTTTTTCACCGTGGGCAGAGGCAGACGGATCATACCCACGACCAAAACCTCGTGAGTCATGGATTGAGCAGCTCATCGCTTCCTATGTGGCAGCAGTGAGAAAAGTCAGGGGTTGCGGTGACACGTATCCCTCCATTCTTGCTGCAGCTACAGCCGCGGATAAACTTGTAAAGGGGTTTGTGGCAATTCAAGGGCATCAAATGCCGTCGCAATTAATTGCCCACGACTGCCGACTAGGAGCAAGAGGCCCCTCACCGTCAATGCTGCTGCTGCTGAAGTATTTCAGCCGCGTCTGTTCTTCTGGCAGCGCAGGCATTCGTTTGACAACTTCCGAGGTTCTCCGAGCCATCTGCTGGGCAGAGTTGGTTTGTAACAATTATGATGCAGCGACGGGCTCCTTTGGGGTGAGGGATACTGCGGCGCTATCTACGGTTGATGCCGTCAGGAGAATGGCGCGACAGGCGTCGCTGGATGCTGCTTCCCTGTTGCATTTTTTGGCACTGGAAGCGACAGAAGCGGAGTTGAAGATTTACCTTTCAAGGGGTAACGAGGGATAGAGGTGGATGGGAATATTCACTTAAGGGCGTATGTGGTCTTCTTTCTGTCGTTGAGACTTTGATGAGAGTAACTTGGTGTGCTTCACATGCTATTTCTTCTCGCATGATTCTTCGTGTTGCCTTGGAGGCACATCTTCCCACCCAGAGGCTGACAAGGGTGACGCTTCCTTTTTCCGCTTGGGTGCTATTTGGCTCACGGGGAATTACCCTGGGAGGTAGAAGAAGTTGACATGGTACGCTCATTAGCATTGATATTTGTATACACACGTAATTCCCCCCCTTGGGTCTCATTCTTCAGCGGCGATCCAACGGTCAACACACAAACAGACTGAACTATTGTAGAAAAAGGGCTGGGATGCTCTTCGCTGCCGATGTCCTGGAGCATAGTGTACCTGTTCCTAACCTCATGACATCCAAGTAGCGCCTTACTGGTCTTCATTTTCCTCCAGTGCAATTTGTTTTGTTTCTGGTTTCTCTCTCTTTCTCTTTGTGCCCGTCTCGTGGTGCCGTGTACTCTGACTCTGGTTAAGCACGGAGGTCATGTCAGCGCCCATAGCAGCTGCTGCGGACGAAACGCTTATCGCTTCGGCCGCTCCCAACGCCACCTCTCCCTGTAGCAACAGCAACAACCAGTGGCTGGAGCTATTCCTTCGCATGTACGCTTTGCACTGCAAGGAGTCTGATATGGAGATGAATTCCCGCGCTTTACAAGCAGCAGTGTCAATGCAAGATGCCCTCGAGACAGACAAGCGGCAGCTGTCATCCCATTCCCCTAGTACACCTGCAGTGGCGTACGTGCTCACTGCCGTACCACTTGTGGTTAGCGAGGCGCATGCCCTGCTTTCTGCACTTGCCTATTTACCGCTTGCTAGGCTTGACTTCAGTGAGTGCTACCTCGGCGACGCAGGCACCCGCGTTCTTGCAGATGCGCTAAGCACAAGTTCCCGCTGCAACGGTACTCTTCGTGCTCTTCACTTGCGTGGCGTTGGCGTCAGTGATGCCACACCGCTGGCGTATTTGGTGACAGCGGCACAGCATCTACACATACTCGATTTGTCGTGCAATAAACTTGGCACTCGGCCACAGGGAGTCTCGGTGCTTTGTGGGGCCTTGCAGCATCACCCTGCGCTGCGGGAGGTGCATCTTGGTGACAACATGATTAGTGGTGGCTGCGGCGTGAGTTTGCGTGCCATTGCTGAGTGGGTAGTGTGCGCTGGCCATGGTGGTGCTCTGCAGCGTATTGATTTGCGCTTCAACGCTTTTGGGTTTTCGCGAGACATTGCAGCTCCTGCAACCGCAGTGAGAGCAAGCAGTTGCATTTATGGCTCTCACCCACTTGTGGATGCGCTTCTCTTCAACAATACTTTGGAGTTTCTTGAACTGAAAGGGAATGCGCTTCCGGTAGATATCATCGATGCGATTGAGGCGAAGTTAGCTGTCAACCGACGCACCAAGGAGATCATCCGAAGGATGTATGTGCCGAGGGGATAAATGACGCTGATCAAAGGATAGCCTGCTGTCCCTGCTGCTAATGTCTGCCTGTCCTTTGGTTAGCGCCCGCATGTCATTTTCTGCCTCCCTGGGCTCGTCAAAGAGAGCCACTGCGGCATGGGTCTTGGCTTTGCTACACGTTTTTTTAATTTGTATCTCGTCTTATTTTTTCAATTTTATTGTTTTCGTGCCACCCTAGTTTCGCCCACTCACAGCTCATCGATGAGGTCGAAGCGCCATTCTCCGCAGCAGTCTAATGGGGCCACTGTGCTGCCGCCAAACAAGGTGGCGGAGTTGGTTAGACAGCTGGCGGAGGCTCAGTACGAGGCGCAGCAACTTCGCCAGCGCGTGGAATTGGTGCAGCGCGAAAACACTTCCTTTCAAGACGCCGTTTCAAAACGAAAGATCGAGGAGGACCTCGCAACGGTCGTGCAACAGCAGCGGTGTGATGACGACAAATCGCTAGAGGCGGGTCGCACAGGCGCTTATGTCAACAACAGCAATAATTGTATAGAAAAGTCAAGTTTTATAGACCGGCTGTTGTCACCGCCAAAGCTGACGACGCGGCCGATGCCACCGCCCGACTCGAACGGTGCTCTGCCGTCGCCGTTGCGCCCTTTCACGACGAAAACCGACGAGCCGTCCGCTGCGCCTGTGGGAGCGGCAGATGGCCATGCTTCTTCGTCGAGCGAGCTTTACTGGAAGCGGAAATACGCCAAGTTGAAGCGCGTGCACGAAAAGGCTCTCAGGGAGCGTGACCTGCAGCTCGCTGAGGTGCAGCAGCTTGTCTTTCAAATTCATGAGGAACAGGACGAGCTGCAGCACCGGCACGAACGGGATCGCCTGCAGCACAAACTTGACCAGGAGGCGAAGGACCGGATGCAGCTGGAGGCGAGGACGAAAACACTCGAAGAAGAGGCTGCTGCATGGCGGCAGCGGTACTTGCGCTTAGTAGAGGAGCCCGCACCGCTACGATGCCGTACCCTGGCACAAGACTTACCAGCAGCAGCGGGCGACGCGGGCGACATCGGCAGGGCATACCTGACAGAGGGCCTCAACCACACGGATGCCTCCTTCGTGCTGCTGGACAGCGCGATGACGTCTATGAGGGAGACAGATGCACCAGCACAGAGGGCTCGTGTGCCGCTTGCAAGTCACCACAATAGCGTGACGAGTGGAAAGTACAGCGGAGTGGAGCAGCAGTTACACCACCACCACCACCACCACCAGCAGCAGCATCAGCATCAGCAACGGCAGCGGCTGCAATGTGGGGGAGGAGGTACCTCTCTTAGCCCAACGGAGAGTTACACTGTACCACCGCATGTCCACGCCACTGTAGGTAACCGCTCAATGGCCATACAGGTGGGGCCATCGACTGCAACGACAGCGTCACAGACAACGACGTGCTTCTGGAAATCTGTTGGAACACAGACAGACACGGAATGGGAAGGTGATGACAATAATGACGGGATTCAGTCAACAAAGAATTTTGAGCCGACGCAACGCGTACGAGTGGGAAGCGCCTACACAAATAGTAGAGCCACGTCCATGCTTCCAGGGTATCACCTGCGGGAGGCACCGTGGACTCCTGTGGCATCGTTCGTCGCCCCGCAGCCTCCCCAATGCGGGACTTCGAAAGGCCACTTTTACTACACAGAGGGTGAGACGCAGGCGAACACCAACGCCTACGTGACGTCGCCCATGCCATTATTCAAGCAGCCGTTTGACCGCGAACCCGCACCAAATACTCCTCCTACCGCCGTTGCCGGTTCTGCGGATTCTTTTAATTCGGCGGGCTTTGGTTTTGCTCTCGGTGCGGAACAGGCGAAGCGAGACCGTCTTGACGAGGACATCCGCAAGCATGATCAACTCTTAGAAGCTGTGGCAAAGTTGCAGAGACAGGCTCAGCGGGCTGCCAAAACGCCGTCTTTTTAGGAACGTGTTCCTCATTTGCTCTTCTGGTTGTCTGTATTCCGTGGCTGCTAGGTGGCTAGTTCCAGAGAGGCGAGCGTGTGCGCTAGAGGTGCTCGGTTGTCCTTTCTATTGGATTAGATATTGTCGAGTGTGAGGAGTCTTCCTCCTTCCCTCTCGCTGTATATTTCATACCCTTTCAGCGCAGTGGGCCGAACTCTACCTGGGGAGGTTACGTGCGAGGGTTTTTGTTTTCCGAGCGCATCTGCCATATGTGTGTGTGTGGTCTAATTCTCTCTCAGCGTGATTGCTTGTCTGGGAATTGCCGTGCTGCCGTGACGTTTGGGTACTTGTTGTCTGTGCTTGGGCATGCGCAAAATGCTCAGCGGCCATCTCAGCGTTGCCTTATTTTTCTTTGCCATTTGCATATGAAGTTTCGTTGTTGTTCACCCGAGTGCCCCACTATCATGTCGGCACCACCACCGCCGCCACAACAACAACAACAAGAACAGTATCATCATCACACGGCGAACACAACGTTACCGCACGGGTCTGACGCGACGGACGCGCACGATCCTGTTGGTGGGAATCACATCTGCCACGACACTGTGTCAGAGCCACACAATGCGCTGCGGCGTCCACAGGCAGAGGTAGCGGGCAATGTACCTGATGGGCAGCATGCCACAGGCGGCGATGGTGAGGTGTCCTTTGGGGATTTCTTCTTCAACAACCTTCCGCCAGGGGACGGCGACGACGCGATGCCGTCCTCGGCGTTTGATGGTTTCTGCTTCGACAACATCTGCGACAACGGTGAGTGGCCGTCAAGCGGTATTGAGATGTGCGACACCACACGCGACGGCGACACCTGTGGTGAAAATCGTGGTGTAACGCCCTCGTTTGACTTTCTCCTTCCCGACGATGCCGCCACGGCTACTGCCGCTGTTGGAAGCACGACAACAAAGGACGAGCTTGACTTTGACTTGACAATGGCGCACTCAACTGATGCCGTGGTGAGCGCCAACACCAACATCACCTCCGTTGCTGCTGTCGCTGATGCAAAGGAGCAGCAGAACTCCACGACGTGTGAGGCGAGTGATGTCAGTATGGATATTGCTGCTCTTTCCTCTGTCAACAACAGTGCTGCTGCGAAAGATGTTACGGGGGCAGGCGGCAGCAACAACAGCGTGGCACTGGACGGCGGAAGTATTGCCCACGAGTCGTTGAAAGGTGTTGCCGCCCCGCTGGTTTCCCCTCGGCTGTCACTCGGTGCGAAGGATATCTCTCTGCTATCTGGGGGAAGTGCGGCAACCGCAACGACCGCGACTTCGCGTGTGCCTCGCGATGGTGTCGAGGAGTTGCTGCGTCGTGCTGAGCGCATTCTTCGCGAGGCCAACGAAGCTGAGGCCGTACGAGACGTCGCTGATGTGCCCGCAGCTGATGGGCGCCCGAGTAGTGACAGCATCCACCAGCCGGACGCCTTCTTCAGTGCGCAGGCTTCACATTGGCTTCGGCGGGGCGCCGAGGTGCAGGAGAGTGTCTTGGCGACTGTGACGGACCTGCAGCTGCGACTGACGCAGACGGTGCGGCTATTCGGCGCCCACTCGGGCCTTTCTTCTGCACTCGGGCCGAAGTACGCCGCGACGCCGGTGGTGCTGACGCTGCCGCTCGTGCTGCCGCTGCTCGAGTCGCTCCTTGCAGAGGAGTAAGGTCCCTCTGCAGAGGACGTGCGTGAGCCGTGGCGCTTGTCTCTTCACACTCACATACGCCGTCTTCCTACTCGTGGCCTGCTTTCTTAGTTTTCAAGTTCTTTAATTTTTACTACCCTTCTTTTCCGTTTTGTTTGTGCGGGTCTCTTCCTCACATTGTTCTTGCAATGTGCTGTTAATGCGATGCTCACCGTTCATGCACTATCCCGGCTGTGCAACGGTTTTACAGTCATCTGTAGTTGTTTTCTTACTTTCTCTTCATTCACAAAGGTGTATTGATCTCTGTGTGTGTGCGTGTCTATTTGTGTGGCGCGGCATCAGCAACGCCGAGACAAGGGAAAAATATCTATAGATAGAAAGAGAGAGGAAAGAAAAAAAAGAAGAGCGAGAGGGGAGGACACAGCAGTGAGTGGGAAGGAATGGATAGTCTGCAGTACCAAATAGAACAGCTGGTGTATGCACTGGGGAATCTGGATCCGAATCGTACGCTCACACAGGAGGACGCCTCAAGCCTGCAGCTGGCTCTGGCCAATACAACGGCTATTGCCCGCAGTGTGGTGGAGCGGCAGTCCTGCCATGCTCTGTCTGAGGGAGACACAGCTGCTGCTGCCAGCCCACCGCTTTCCTTCTCTGTGCAAGGGAGGGAAAAGCAGGCGGAGACTCTGACGTCTACAAGTGGAACTTCTGCTGCTGCTGCTGCTATTGCGGGCAGTGACAATAGAAGGAAGGATGCTGCTACCGATGCCGCGTGCCAGCGAAGGAATGCTGGCGGCGGTAAGGATCAATGCTACGGCGAGACGCTCAGCAGTATTGCCAAGCTGCACGACGTTTCTATGGATGATATACGGCAATATAACCCGCAGTTGTCTGTCTTTGGAGACAGTGACGTGCTGCCGCCGAATACATTCATCAAAATGAAGCTTCCCATAAACCAGTTGACCCCTTATGACACGCCTTGTAGAAAAGCAATTCCCAGTACTCCCGTTACCGAGCGGCCGCTGCAGTTAGAAGACATGGTGTCAGTCGATAGTCCGTTGCCGCTGGCGCCGCTGCCGAACGTGCAGGAGGCACGCCGGCGCCTTCTTTACATGGAGGGAATGCTGTCGAGCCGCGAAAAAAGCAACCAGCGCCGCGAGCCGGTCGCTGAATGCGCCGACACAGCGAGGGGCCTGCTCCTGCTGCTGCCCTCGCCGTCGCCAAGCCGCCGTTGCCCGTCACAGGACGACACGGTTTGCAGCAATGGTGCAAGGGATGAGTTGCACTTTTACTCCCCCACTCCGAAGAAAGGCCCTAACCCCATCGACAATGCACCACCACCAGAAGCAGCGGCAGCAGCCACACGGACGCCCGGTAACACGCTGAGGGTTACCAACACCGCGAACAACACCAACTCCGCTGCATCATCAGTCGTTCCGACGTCTCTTCTATCAGGTTCGCGGGTTGCTAAGCCGCCTGTTGCAAGGCCTGCCACTACGGCGGCTGAGCCAAATAACAAGACGTCGGTATCACCGACTAACCGGATTAGTGCGGCCGACGGTGATAATTCTTTCACGACCGAATCTTCCTCTTATCTCTCAACTCCTACGCCGACACGGTACGTCTCGCCGGATACGAAGCAGTTGATGTCCAGCGGTAAGCGTTTGGGCGAAAAGAGGAGTTCAGTGGAGCCAGAGACACCAACACCAGACAAAATAGGAAAGTCGATGACAGTTGAAGATAGCAATCTGGAAGATAACCTTTGCAATAATTGTGAGGCATCGCCCATTGGAGTATGTGAGCCTTCCATTTCTCTTGAGGGTGGTGATGAGTACGACACGCTCAACTCTATTGCTCTGCAGTACAATACCACCGTGAAGGACGTACTGCAATGGAATCCGTATTTGATTGTTTACGAGGTGGATGAGCCACTTCCAGCAAATCTCCCCATTGTTCTGCCACTGCAGAATCAAGACCCACGAGAGCAGTAGGAGGGGCAATAGCCGCCTGTATATTGCTTCTGCCCCCCCACCAACAAGCCTTCTACTCGACAACGCGGCTAGTTAAATCTTGCAGAACTCATCAGCCGACTTCCCTGGTAGAGCAAAGACAACGGCGAAAGAAAAAAGGAAAAAAAAAAGTGTCCACTATTTGCGTATAGATAAGGATTACTGTTTTCTGTGCTTCTCTCTCTCCAAGTGTAAGTGCGTATACGCTTTAACTAAGAGTAGAGGTGTGTGAGTGTCTGTGTGTGTGTGTGTGTGTGTGTGTGTGTGAGTGCGGCATTGGTGCAGGAGTAGAACATAAAGTTGTGTGGGGGGGTACACAACAAACTGAAGGTACATCCTGCATCAGCATCAGGTGTGAGACTCTATTTCCACATGGAGTGTGAGAAAGACAATCGGGACAGATGCTCTTGCTGCAGATTGGTGAGTCGAGAACGCAGAGGATGGAGAGACGCAGAGAGTGCGTAAAATGAGGCGCCAGTTCTGGTTTACTGGTTGGTGCCCCTCCTTCGCGCTTTATATCTACTCGACGGGTAGTTGGTGACTGACGGCGTTGCGGGTTGACCCATGCCTTTTTTTTTCTGTGCTTAGATTCCTTTGCCGCAATCACATCGCGTGGACGATTTTTCTCTTTCTGCACCGATTCTCCTCCACGTGTGTGTGTGTGTGTGTGTGTGTATTGTCGGGCCGAGGAGCGTTACTCACCATCGGCACACTTCAATGGTTTACCCTACGCCTCCGTGTTTTCTTATTCATTCCTTGTGCGATTCATTTACCCCCGTGTGCTGCGGCCTTTTTTCGTCTCTCTGTGTGTGTGTGTGTGTGTGTGTGTGTGCTGCGCCCCAATTTTTTTCTTGTTTTTTTTTGCTGCGGCAGTGCCGTCTCTCTCTTTGTGTGTGTGTGCTGCGGGGCGCATTGCGTGGCGCGCCGTTGTTTATTACTCCCCCAATGGTGCTGCTGGTGCGGCGAAGATGCACAAAGGCGAAAGTCGTTATAACCTCCCCCCCCCTCTCCAAGGAAAGTAAGAAAGAAAAACAACAACAACAACAACAACAAGGGAGACAAAGAAAAATAAGAAAACAACTTAGACTTGTGGTGCCGTTATGCTGCGCGGATGTATGCCACTTCTCCCATTTCTCTCTCTCTATCTCTGTGTGTGTGTTTGTGTTGCTTGGGAGGGGGCGGCACAGTGGATGAAGTGAGTATCCTGCCGTGTCTCCCTTGCGTTGCCTCTGGTATGCTGTTGCTGCTTCTGATCTTCCCCTCCTCCCCCGTCGCGTGGCGCTGCACTGCGAAGAACGTGGCAGCGCAGTGAAGGTGACAAAAGAGGCCCTATACAGCAGCATAGTTGGGCAAACGCACATTCCATTTAAGCCATTCACTTCGCAGAACACGATAGATAACACACAAGGTCTCTTTGTTGACGTGTCTTCATTCATGCAGGGTTCTACTGCTGTTCCTGCGGAGCAGGCCGGCGCTATCGCGTCACTTCCTATTGTTCTGCGCAAGGATGACAGCCTTGTCCTCGCCTCCTTTTCCGAGAAGCAGCGGACATTGACGGAAGTGGAGTCCAGTCGCATGACAGGTGACTACCGCGAATGCGAGGTGTGCTTTAACCCCGCAAAGGCAACGGCATTTGCCCACGCTACAACGACGCACGTGCGATACAGCGAGTTGTTTCAAACAGAAGAAGGGGCCGAGTGGGAGTTAAAGCTGCTCTTCGAGTTGGAGGAACGCAACGTTGTGGCGCTCTCATTTTCCCCACAGGGAACTGTGCTGGTGACGTACGCCATGATGGACAGCAAGCGACCGGAGGGCAACATGGCGATGTACGACGTCGCGACGGGGAGGCTGCTGCGACGCTGCGTGCAGGCGCGGTGGCCCGGCATCGTGTGGAGCAGCCAGGAGCAGTGCTGCGTGCGCCCGGTGCAGGGCTTCCTGCACGTGATGGACGGCGACCTCCGCAAGGGCGAGACACCGGTGCTTGCCAAGTTGGATCTGCAGCTGCCGCAGGACAAGGAGATTGAGTTATCCATGTGCCCAAGCGGCACACCCATTCTCGCGATGTTTAAACCATTCCACAAGCAGACGCAGGGCACGCTCTTCTTCTACCGCCTGCCAAATGTGCTGGACGGTCCCATGTACCAGGTGCCGTTTGGCCGCGCGGAGTCGGCAACAGTGCAGTGGAGCGGGTCGGGTAACCACGTGGCGCTGCTCGTCAAGTCGGAGAGTGACAAGAGCGGCAAGAGTTACTACGGTACAGTGGCGTTCTTTCTCGTGGATGTTGGCGGCCGCAGCTTCAAGGAGATCAAGTTCCCAAGCGGGGAGTCCGTGCACGACTGCCAGTGGAGCCCCACGTCGGATGAGCTGATGGTGGTGCACGGCACCATGCCGCGAAACAAGACGACGCTCTATGACAAGACGGGTGTGGCGCTCATGACGTTTGGCGAGGCGCCGCGAAACATCATTCTGTGGTCCCCGAACGGCCGCTTCTGTGTTCTGGGCGGGACAGGAAATCTTGCCGGCGATTTCGTCTTCTTCGATGTGCACCCGCCAACAACCACTCGAGGTGCCCAGGGCAAAAATAATAATAATAATAATAATAATAACAATAACAATATCCGTGCGGTGACAGCGGCGCCATCCTCTGCAGGGGCACTGGCGACTGGGGAGTTTAACGAGAAGAGCAGCGTGCAGACGTGGGCTCCAGACTCGCACGTGTTTCTCTGCGCCATCGTCTTCACCCGCCTACGCATCGACAACAAGCTCGTCTTTTACAAAAACAACGGTGAACACCTACTGACGCAGAAGTACTCTACGCTCTACGGTGCACACTGGGTGCGGACCCAAGAGACGCGGCTTTACCCAATGCGGTCTGCCTCTCCACGCAGTGAGACAGACAAACCCACAAAGCCGCAGCCGTACCGACCGCCCCACGCGAGTGCCGCTGCTGCAGCGCTCCTGCGGCGTCCAGACTCCTCGACGCCAAAGCAGGCCAAACCCGCTGGACCTCCAGGCGCAACAGTCGTGGTCCAGAAAAAGAAGAAGCGTTAGGTGCCATTTTGCGTCACTGTGAGTCCTGACGCTTTGTGCATCTGTGTGTATGTGTGTGTGTGCTTGTGGATTCATTTGAGTATGATGAAGCCCCTTTTAAAACATTTAGGCAGGGCCGAGTAAAAGCTAATGTGTGAAGGTGTGGGCCGGTTTCGTGGAGTAACTCCCACACCTGCTCATTCCTCTTTATGTGTCTGTGTCTAAAAGCCTCCGTTTACTCTTGCTTTTCTTTCTGTGCTTTCTTTGTTGTTGTTTTTCTTCTTCTTCGCGTCTTCTACTGATTGCTTCGGTTGCTGTGGTGGTGCTGATAGGGCTTACAACAAGTTATATATATATATATATCTGTGTGTGGTGTGAGAAAGCAAGAAAGAGAAGCCTGCTGGTGGTGATGCAATGACCTTGCGTGACTGCGCCCCTCTGCTACACTTACAGAAATGTGTGAGAGTTCTTCCGTGGCGTATGGACGGCTTTGTTTTCTGAAGCCTGGACACTCTCCGTGGGAGCACAGGGTGTGGGCGCGGGGCATTGGTCTTCCACATCCCCCAACACAGGATGACATACACACCCCAGAACAACAACAACAACAACAACAAAAACCCAAAGGCGCTTTGAAATCGTGTGGGGTCACTTCAGCAGGTTAGAGGAACGAATGGACCTCACCCCCGTGCTTTTACTCGAGTTCTTCGTTCGCTCTTTTGTTGAGCTATGGACTTCTGCTGTGTGGGTTTGCGGGGGAGGTACTATTTGGGTGGTCCAGCGTAGCTGTTCGAGAAGGAGTGACTTGACATGTTGGAGGAATGGGCGACGTGTTGATGCGCTGACACGTGCACACACAGGTGGAGCTGTGGAAATGGAGTTGGGCGATGTGAATTTGCAGATGCTTCTCTTCCTTGCACGCCATGTGGTAGCATGGGTGGGACATGACGGCAGCAAACCTGTTCACCCCTTCTCTTCTTATTGTGACTAGCCTCTTCTCGTAGCCGTATCAGAGCAACAGACGACTAGCCACAAGGCACTGAGGCAGCGAGCAGATATGTTTTCCACCACAAAGGTCCGACTCATGCTGCGCGGCACTTCGCTGGCGCGAGCGGCATCGCGCTCGTTCGGTACAGTCAAAAAGAGGGGCGCTTCGCCGCAGGTGTCACCACCAGCGACGGCGGGGGCATCTGTATCATCGCCGCATGTTGCAGTCTTCACAAGCGTCAAGGAGTCGCTTGACAGCCTCCTGGGGGAGGCCGCACAGGGCAATGATGCTGCACCAGCGACAGAAACCGCGCAGCCGCCCAGCACGAGGGAGTTGGACAGCGACGATGCACTCAGCATAGGACACACAGGAGGTGTGACGATGCCGGCGTACTACCACCCAATGAACCTCCGCGAGACACTCTACGAGGGCGAGGTAGCGGAGTGGTTGCGTGCGGCCGCAGTGGCGGGACGATTCCGCTCGCCTGTGTGGGCAACTAAAGGTGCTTTGGCGCGTCTCGGCCACACCGTCAAGGATTCCGCGGTAGCGGTGAACGTTCCCACTACGATGCAGATGGTGGAGCTGTATAACCTTGAGCAAACAGACGCACCAGAGGCGGTTGTGAGTGCCTCACTGAAAGGAGGGATGAATCCAAAACAGTCGCCAAATCTACCACTCAACGCCGCAGGACGTCCACACCCACTACGAGTTCGGCGCATTCTGCAGGAACATCCCTCGTACCGTCAGTATACGTCCCCATATTGGATCACAGAGGAGGAGTTGCCTGCGCTCGGTACGACGGTTCTGTCCGCGCAGAGAGGCTGCGGAATTCTTATTCCTCGTTCTGCACCTGCAGTTACGCCGCCGAGGCCGCCGTCTTCGTGTGGCCAGGATGACGGACACCATGAGCCTTGCGAACATACACCGTCACCGGTATCAGATTTCTACATGCTGTACAATGCTGCACAACTAGAGGATCCAGAGAAGGTGACAAGTGAAACATGCACCCCCATTGAGTGTGTAAACAACAATGGCCAGCGCTACAATATACCCCTCACGGTGTGCATGCGCCAATACTGCCAGAAGTACCACCTCAGCACAGAACCGCTGGTGGTGTTTGTCACAGCTGCGCGAGTTCGTTCCCTTGGAGGAGACTTGCGCTCGGCGGGGGACGCCGTGCCACCGTTTACATGCGTGATCAAGGATGATGTGGTAACGCTTTACCACGCAGAGCAAACAACAATACAAGAGAAATTGGTTCAACGGGCCATTTCGGGGCGACGCGAGCGGCTGGATCGCATCACATCTTCCAGCGTGTGATATGCAGGCAGCAGAAGGAAGTGCCGCGGAAACAGAGTGCCCTGCGTACGATACCCTTCTTCACACGGCAACGGAGGAAAGACGCCTACACTGACTGTGCCGTTTTTCTTCCGGCATGACAGAAGACAAAAAAAGGTATGTGTCTGTGTAGAGGGCATACAGGACGGACAGAAGCGAATGTGGCGTGGCATTGCTACAACTCCCTGGGCCCAGCGAATAAAATAAGAATGAAGGAGGGATTTTGGGGGTGAGAGGGGTGACATGATTTCGTTTTTTTTTTTTTGTTTTGTTTTGAGTTATTATTCTGGTCTACGATGTTTCTGTTTTTGTGGTTGTTTTTTTACCGGGGGGATTCTTTGCGCTGAGTGCTACCTCTACGTGCAACAGACCCCACTTTTTTTTTTTTCACAGCCGTCTTGCCTTTGATTGGATGAGGTGATGGCAACAACTGAGGAATCATGTTTTATCCAGCTGACACACGGCTCCTGCCGTAGCTGTTGTCTCAAGCTCTGTGTCCGACTCCTAATGCCCTCCTCCCTACACATCGTCTCCAAAAGCTAGATTTGTTCTTCATGCTCAGTTTGATCCTTTCACCGAAGAGAGCCACACCGGAAAGAATAAAGTAATTATGGAGCCACAGCGTCGCTTTTAAAGTCAACATCCCACTTCCTTAACTAACTCGCCTGGATGTGGGCTTCCAACTGCGTACGGGTAGCGCGACGGCCCGTACAGGCAAAAAGTGGATTTCCATGCAGAGCTCGGTGAGTTGAGTGGTGGAGCTCTGTAGAGAAGCGGAGAGGCGGCACAGCGATACATGTGTTATGTCGGAACTTCAGCGCGATGGAAGCACCAACCCATTTCATGCTACTTAGAAGAGCTGCACGTGCGAGCTCCCTGGTGTTGGTTAGGCACTCGCAAATGACTCTCTGGGATGCATTGATATGCGTAGCAAGCGTTCTCAGCTGCGCTTTCTCAGTTGTGGAGGTGTTTGCGAAATGTGTATATTTTCAGAGTTGGGGATATTGGCATAAATTTGTTTGGAGGGAACCGATGAACTGCGGATTGTTATGCCTCTGAGTCGCCTTGCGCATCAACAGAGGCTCTTCTTGTAAAGTCTAAACGTGAGAGAGAAATATGAACTCTTCACTGGGATGCATCTATCTATTAGGGGAGCTCACCCTTGGTGGTTATACCTGCGTTACGACATGAGGTGGCATCGAACGCCTACCACTACTACGTTTGCTTGACTTGGGATGCAACGACGGCTTGAGTAAGGACCTTCAGGGGACATTTGTATGCCCTCGGTGCTATCGACAAGAAGTGCACTGGTACAACGCCATCAGAAAAGAGATTATTACCCTCTCCTACTAATGCATATGCCTGAGGGAAATTGATGCTCAATGCACCAATGGCCTGCAGAGTCGTTGCGCATTGTTCGCACGTTCGCTCTTCTACTTTTCTTTCTTCACCTAACAGATGGATGCGACGACAGCCGTGTTGTTATCGGTTTGACATGCTATAGCTGAAACTATTTGTGGACGCTAAGCTGCTTCGGGTTTCACTGTTAGAGCCCTAAGTCATTACAGTAATACCCTCTGATTCTGTGTCACCTCCAAGCTTGCATCTTATGGCGTTGAGCAAATGTCTTATTGATCGATCTATAGCTGAATCTAGCATTGTTCTCTGATTAACGAAGGTATCCATGGAATCATAAAGACTGGGCGGAGTACGTGTGGTAGCGTTGCTTTCTTCGTCGACTTCATTTGTACGTGGGTGATTGCATGGCTGCGTTAACGCGCAGTGTGCTGTGCTGCCTTTGCTTTGGTCTAGTGGGCCCTGCGATGTGGAGTGTGGTTCATTTGTGCTGTGCTGGTTGGTGCTGCTGCTGCTGCGTGGCGCCCATACACTCTCCTCTCGTATGGACGTCACGGCGGATGTGTTCTTGATCATTGCGTCCCTCCTTTGCGTGTGAAGGTGTGGAGGTGGGCGATTTCTATTCGGCGGAGGTGGCGTAGTCATGTGGATGGGATGGTGCTGCTCTCACACAGACTGCCCCTGTAAGGACGGCTGTATTCTCTGCCTGTGTATTGGTGACCGTAGAGGTGACGTTGGGTGACTGCACGGCGTGTGGTGCGTGGCGCTTTGGTTGCTTGTTTGTGTTGTGATGCCGCGGCAGGGACTGTGGGGCCTCGGCTGTCTCCCAGTGACCTCGTGTGTGTGTGGGAGGTGGAGTACTGCAGCTAATGCGGCTGATAATTCCAGTGTGCCTCTTTTCCATTATTGATGCATCACTCTTTCCCTTTTTTGCTGCGGGGGTAGAGTGGCTGGCTTCCCTTCCGCGCTGCGCGTGGTGCGCCACACGAGGCGGAGACTGGCGTTGCAGGCTGTTCTGTGAGCGGAGGGGATGAGAGAGATGGTGTGTGTGCGTAGTGGTGTAGAGTGGCACCCTGTGGTCGGGTGAAGTTCTTCTTTGCATTGGTTCAGCGAACACGGCTGTGTGCTTGTGGTGCTGCTCCCCTGCTTTAATTTCTTTGTGCCTCTTCCCTCAGATTGCGTGACACATTGCCAAGAAGGATACTCTCAGGCAGCAGTAATGATGCGAGCAGGAGGAGTGATGATGGTGCGCCGCGTGGTGCTGTGCGTGTTGGCTCTTTCTCAGTGCTTCTTCTGCGTGTGCGTGACGGCTAAAGATGAGCAGGGCTTAGAGTACATAAATGACGCACTGCGGCTGAAGCCAATTTCTGGAAAGAGTGAGGTGAAGAACGAGGCTACCGATCGTGTTGGTGCAGATGTGGCTAAGGAAGTGATTACAGTGCAACCAAAAGTGATGATGGTTTTGCCTGAGAGAAGGGGGGAGTCGACTGATGCTAAGGCGCCTGAAATTGTTGCAATGCTGAGCAAGGCGGATGCTGTAGCTGCTGAAGTGGAGAAGGCGGCTGCAGGTGCCCACGATGCGGTGAAGAAAGCTCAGCAGGCTGCGGGAAGTGCAAAGATGGCAATAAACAGCGCCACAGAGTCAGTGAAGAGTGCACGGAAGGCAGTGGCAGACGTTGTGAACTCATCGAACATCGCCGAAGAGGCAGCGAAGGAGCATGCGTGTGATATAGAGGCAAGGAATACAGCCGACTCAGCCGCGGCGAGCGCTGCTGACGCCGGAGCAAAGGCTGCACAATCCGATAAGGAGTCCGCAGGGGCCGCAGAGAGTGCCAAAGCGGCGGCAGTAACCGCCAGGGAGGCCGTGGCAGCAGCTGACAGGGCGGCGAGTTTGGTCGAAGAAGGAGCGAAGGCCGACGGCGGTGCTGTTGCGCTCGTTCGGGACGCGGTGGGGAAGGCGAAGTTGTCAGCTGTGGGGGCAGGCGCTGCAGCGGCGAGGGCAAAGGAATTGGCGGCAGCGGTTGAGCGTGCGGTGGCGCAGGC